AGTGGAGAGGTAGGTCTGTGACTGAAAGTTTTATTGAAATTTATCAAACATACTGCTTTTTTCTATAATAAACCTGTTGCGCCTCCAAAAAATAACCTTATATTTTACAACTCTGTCAAAATTAGAATAGTACAATATTTCCATACTCGAATTATTTAGATTTTTTGGTGTTACCCTAAGATCATAGCAAGTGAAATTAGAGTTCTACCGCATGTGCTGTCCAATCTAAAATCCGTCAATATAGATGCCTCAGAATTTTACACTTTCACTCAACTGCAGCTGATGATTCTCTGTATCGATACAATGTGGATTATCGCCTTTACTCTGCTTAGTTCTAAATAATGTTGTATCAGTTTTTGATATATTCAGTACCAGTTTGTTCGCAGAAAACCATGTATTCACACTTCTGAATAAGAAATTCCCATTCGCAGTTAGGCTCTCTACACATGTCCCACCCAACACTAAATTTGTGTCATGAGCTTAGCAGATAATTTTATGGTTACTCCAGTCACCAATAGTAACAAAAAAAATGATTTATACAAACTAGGATCAAAATCAGACCAAGTATACTCCCTTAACAATTTCAACCCTCTGTTGTCTATTATAGAGGAATTACTTGAACAACTCAAATGTACCTCCTCTTACACCATATCTTTGTAGCTTTGAAATGCCTGGTGTCGTAATGGTCTTGTGTTTGTAAAACTTGGTGACGTTATGCATCGCATTAATAACTCGGGAGACTTGGAAAAACTCGTGAGTTAGATGTGTATTCCTGATTCCTTTTGCGAGGGTTGCAGTGGTGTACGAGCGCCAAATGGAAAATGCTCTAGATTACCTTTCTTGAAGATTTGTTTGATAACAGCTGTTTTCAAATTCTCTGGGAATGTGCCTTGTCTATAAGCATTATTAATAAGTAAGCAACAAACCTCCTTCTGGCCATTTCACACGCTTCATCAACAGTCACTAACTAACTGCTGTTCGGCCACTGAGGTAATTCCCTACAAGGTGGATGACGGAGGCTGAGATACGCTTTTATTGCATTTTGTACTCTAGTCGATCGTGGTTTATGCTGTCGAAGACTTAGTAAATTTAGTTGACATCGAAGAAGCGTGTTCTTTATTGGCCAACGCCTCGCACGCATAGTCGACTGATCTGCCGCAACATTTTTAATGGGAGCTATGGAAAACCAAGCCAAGAAACATTACCCATTTGAGAGCCAACATCCATAACGGAATCGCAGTCATAGAGCTCGAGCTCCATCAGAAAGTCGTGAGAATTCCTAGGTAGGAACAGGTGACTTACGTTTATGAGATGATACAGACATATACTGACACCTTTCTGTTAGGTAGCTTCTTATCAAGCTGACTGCTTTGGCGTCAAACCCAAAGCACTTCAACTTCGAGAATAATGCTTTTTCATCCAACGTGTCAAAAGCTTTACTATGGTTTATCAGCGCTAAGCGCATGACATTACCCTTATCAAAGGCCTTATAATAATCGACCACAACGCATATCGTGCAAATGCTGTCGTCATGTAGGTATACAGTTGAAGCCCCAGTCAGCCCTGAATGTTACATTATAAACTTGTGTTTTTGAACCGAATGGCGAGAAATATTATACAGGGTGTTTCAGTTTATTGTTGCATAACTTTAACATTCGATAGAACTTTTAAAATTAATGCATAAAGTCTATATAAACATGGGTCGAAAAATGCGTGGCTTCCGAAATACAGGGTGTTTAAATTTACTTTATAAAATAGTTTTTTTTAAATGTTTCGAACAATATTTGATGCATAATAGTGAAAATTGGTATACAAGGGTTTTTTTGTACGACAAAACGAACCATGGGCATAGTTTTACTGTAGCCGCTAGAGGGCGCTCTCTACTGTACCTGTAGTGTATTAAAGTGACCGAAAAAATTTTCTTAGTGCAATCTTTTGCTTCTTGAATAAAAAAGCTCATTCTTCGCACTTTTCAACATAAAAAAGCTCTCTTGTGAATTTACGTTATAGTTAGCCCTTTTTGAGATATTTCGGTTTTTAAGGTTCGATGCATTTTTAGTTATTTATGGGAAAATATTATTTTTTTTGCATTTTCGATTTGGGCATTACAAGTAATTAAAATGATCGTTTAGATTGTGTTTTTAAACACATCAATAATTCCTAACTCCAAATAAACACAAAAAACAGAATATTAATTTGTTTAATTTTCCAATATTATTTTTAACAAATTAAATTAATTATTTACAACTAAAATGCTATTGGATAGTTAGGACAAACATACAAAATCTAAAGTAGTTACTCGAAATGTAAACCCAATTGTTCAATACGCAGTTCACATCTACGAATGATCGAACGTGGCATAGCATTATTCAAATAAGGCCTTATTTCATCACATGCATTCCTGATTCTGTCGATTAGCATGTCTCTTATGGTTACGGGAGTCTGGTACACTTTTTCTTTTAGAAATCCCCACACAAAGAAATCTAATGGATTTGGGTCAGGGGATCGTGGAGGCCAGGCTACTGGTCCTCCACGGCCGATCCATCTTTCTGTATAATTTTCGTCCAGCCTGTTTCTAACTATTCTCGAATAATGAGCTGGACAACCATCAAGCTGGAACCAGGCCAATCTTCTTAAATCTAACATAACATCATCCCACATATTTGCATGTCCAGCCTTTAAAAATTCCAAGAAGGTCGCAGCATTTAACCTTGCAGGCAAAAGGTAGGGTCCAAATAGTCGATTACGGTAGATACCAATCCACACGTTCACACTAAATACGTGCTGAAAATTTCTTTCCCGAACCGCATGCGGATTTTCATGCGAGCAAATATGTTGATTATGAAAATTTACCGCTCCACGTTTAGTGAAGCATGACTCATCGGTCCATAAAACGTTACTTAAAAACTCCCTATTATTATCAGTTCTATCAAGAATCCACTGACAAAATGTGATTCTTCGTTTTCCGTCCCCTGGCTGTAGTCCTTGCACAGGTTGCAAATGGTAAGGACGTCTATGGACGTTTCTAAGAACACGGTGAACATGGCTTGCTGAAATTCCCAAGGCACCAGAAACTCTCGTAACACTTGTGGTCGGATCTCTATCAAACTCACGCAGAATCATACGGGTAAATCTGCGCTGAGGAACATTTATGTTTTGATCCCTTTGGAGATTTCCAAAACCATTTTCAATTATTTGGCGATGCACTCTTACAAATACTGAGCGAGTTGGATGTCGTCTATTTGGAAATCTTCGTGCGTATTCTCTGGCTGCTTCTGCTGCGTTTCCATTTACAAAGCCATACACGAAATGAATATCCGCTAACTCTTGATTGGAGAATAAAAATAGCATTTTCATAAAACTTACAAAAAAAAAACAGGTAAAAGAAACTAAATTTTGTGCATTCACAATTGCAAAAAAACGTTTCCGGTTTCAACAGACAACAAAACTAACTGTCAACTAATTGACGTTTAACCTTATTCTGCTTTCAATTTCAAAAATATTTGTAGGCACAGCCTACTTCTAAAAATTATCCAGATACTGACTTCTTAACGTTATTTTATCATAAATACATAATTAAAAATGCATCGAACCTTAAAAATCGAAATATCTCAAAAACGGCTAACTATAACGAAAATTCACAAGAGAGCTTTTTTATGTTGAAAAGTGCGAAGAATCAGTTTTTTTATTCAAAAAGCAAAAAATTGCACTTAGAAAATTTTTTCGGTCATTTCAATACACTACAGGTACAGTAGAGAGCGCCCTCTAGCGGCGACAGTAAAACTATGCCCATGGTTCGTTTTGTCGTACCAAAAAACCTTTGTATACAAATTTTCACTGTTATACATCAAATATTGTTCGAAATATTTAAAAAAAACTATTTTAGAAAGCAAATTTAAACACCCTGTATTTCGGAAGACACGCATTTTTCGACCCATGTGTATATAGACTTTATGCATTAATTTTAAAAGTTCTATCGAATATTAAAGTTATGCAACAATAAACTGAAAGACCCTGATAGTCAATTTATTTTCTTCGTTCTCGCTTTTTGGCTTTGTTATTGAAAACTTACTTGTTTTTGGAAAAAGAAAGTCTCAACCGACATTACAACTAGTCTAACCCGGCCAGAACGCTCTCTCTGTATAAAAGCCTGCTGCAGAATTTTTGTGTATTATTCTCCATTTCTTTGGCTCAGATTTATCGACAAGTGAACTCACAAAATTGAAATATACTAAGCGACAAAGAAAAACTTAACAGTACGACCTGATCATTTATCACTTGCTGTTCATGGCAAGATAAATCAATAAGTAAAAAAATGAATTATAATAAACACACGTAGGTGTTTTATTTTTATCGCCCAGTATATTATAGACCGGTTTTCTTAGCCTGCATGTGCGAAAACAACCCGTTCCAGGTCGGTGTTTGCCTTTAGAACATCGGAGGAACAAACAACGAGGCGAGTCGTTTCTCCGACTTGGAAGGCGAACAGACAATTATGGGCAAGCGAGACGGAGGATAATTTACTTTCTCTAATAAGACATTGACGCATTACAGACGGCGAATTCCTCAAGTTTAGGCTGTAAGGGTAATCTGTTTTAAAAGCTAAATTAATTGCAGGCGAATTCTGGGGAGCTGAACTGGGGGGGTTAAGGAAATGTAAGGGTGTATGCCCTCTTAGAAGTGTGCAGTGTTAGCTGTTGAGATGTAGGCGCGATAAGGGCGCTGTTAATCATGGATATACAAATCAGTCATGGAAGTACAATTCCGCATGTGACCTGGAAGACTCATGTATTACATCTAATGAAGGATCTATCAAGGTGTAGAGAAAACATTGATATCTTGCAGGCATATTATGGGCTTTTACATTATAAGATGTCTTACGCACTCCTAGGCTGGGGTCATTTAGCACATTATGCAAAAAATTCATTCAATTCATGGACATGTGGTCTAGGACCTAGGGATCCATGTAGAGATGCTTTCATCTAACTGAAATTATTTACCCTGCCGTCGTTATACGTGCTAGCTAGCTTAAATTTACCACAACAACTACCAGAAACGGTATAAATTCCTTCGGAATTCGCTTTTATAATGCAATTCCAGATAAGGTCAAGCTCTTGAGGAACGAGCTCTTTAAAATGAAATTAAAATACTCCTTGATCGACAAAGCATACGACAACTATGACGAGCTCTTCAACAGTGACTTTTTTAGAATTCCAGTAGATTTTTTATCTTTGTTTTTGTGCTTTTTAAAGTTTTGGTGATTGTAATTGTATTGATCTTCAGTATACCTTCATGTTCATTGTTCCCTTTATATTTCATTGCTGATAAATCTCATCATTGTTTTCGTTTTGACTTCTGCAAACACAAACTGTGTATTTAGCGGAGAATAAAGAATTGAAAAAAAATTAAAAAATACATTTTTATTCACTGGTTCTCAGATATGCCTACACATTTGATATTAATGAGTCTGGATGGCCTAAAAAACATAATCTATTTTAGTATGCAATTCTTCAGATGAGCGCGTCCGCAACAGCAAGCATTTTTAGAAAAAAGTTTCTGGATAAAAAAATGCCCGCCGGCGGGATTCGAACCCGCATCTCCTACATTTCTTGAAGCCGACCTAACCAATTAGCACCTTCAGCTAACCCGTTTCAATCTCGCCACCTGAATATTTCGAAATTATAGGAAAACAAGTTTCAATCAAAAACTGTAGGGTTTTGAGCGGGCAAAATGGTGGTGCGTTGACAATGACCTTAACTATCACCTTTAAAGTCTTCTCAAGGTTAAGTGAATGTTTTCAAAAATAACGCCCCTCTTTCACACCGGAATTAAAAAGAGGAACAAACTTTAGGTCCAAACATTGCCTTGACCACGACTGATCACTGCCTTCAAGGCCATTTTAAGGTCAAATCAAGACGCCGAAAGCAATTTTCTCTAAAACAAATTTTCGATAGCGCAGTTTTTACGTTTGTGGGAATCACCGAAGGGTGACCTTCAAGGTCAAATCAAAATAACAAAGGTATCATTTAAATTATATACTGGAAAGCAGGCAATCTTACACTTGAATGTGACCTTGACCTAAAATAATATTTAGGCTTGACACGAACTTGACATTGGGTCAAGGTCACTTTCAGACGTAAAATTACCTTTTTCTTATTTTCAGTATGAAAATGAGATATTTCTTTTGGAAACTTTCACTTGAGCTTAAAGGTCCTGCTCAAGGTCACCTTTGGATACTATGTACGAGATCAGCCAAAGATTCTAAGAAAACAAATTTTTATGAAAAGTTGTAGGCTTACGAGGGTGCAGAACAGTGGTGACCTTGACAATGACCTCAACTACCACCTTTAAAGTCCTTCCAAGGTCAAGTAAATATTTTCTAAAAGAATCCGCCCTTTCCACACCGGAATTGTAAAGAAGAGCAAGCCATTTCAAGGTCAAATCAAGAGACCGAAAACAATTTCCTCTAAAACAAAGTTTCGACAACACAGTTTTGACGTTTGTGGGAATCACCGAAACGTGGCCTTGATCATGACCTTTACGGTCAAGTCAAAACTCCATAAGGTAACCTCTAATTTCTATACTGTGGATGGAAAAAGCAGGAAATTTTACGTCAGAATGTGACATTGATCTCAAATGACATTTAGGCTTGAGATGAATAAAATAACACTCAGATCTGAAACTTCCTTCTTTCTCCATTTTCAGTGTGAAAATGAGAGATTTTCTTTGGAAGTTTTCACATGAGCGTAAAGGACGTGGCCAAGGTCACATTTGGGTACTCTGTCCTCCATGTATGAGATCAACCAATTATCACCTGAATATTTCAGAAGTTGCCCATTCCAGGAAAACAAGTTTCAATCAAAAGCTGTATGGTTTTGAGTGGGAAAAACGATGATGACCTTGACAATGACCTTAGCTACCACATTTGGAGTAATTCCAAGGTCAAGTTAATATTTTCCCCCTTTTTCACACCCTAAGGCCATTTCAAGGTCTAAACGGCACAGTTTTGATGTTTGTGGCAACCCTGCCCCAGGTGACGTTGATCATGACCTTTATGGTCAGTCAAAATTCTAAACGGTAACCTCTAATTTTTATGCTGTACATGGAAGAAGCAGGAAATTTGACGACCGAATGTGACCTTGATCTCAAACAACATTTAGACTTGACACGAACAAAGTAACATTCAGATGTGAAACTTTCTTATCTTTCCATCTTCAGTGTGAAAATGAGAGATTTTGGAAACTTTCACTTTAGCGTGAAGGTTATGGTCAAGTTTACCTTTGAGCATTATGTCCTCGATGTATGAGATCAGCCAATTATCGCCCGAATATTTCGGAACCTGCACATTCCAGGAAAACAAGTTTCAATCAAAAGCTGTATCGTTTTGAGTGGGAAAAACGGTGGTGACCTTGACAATGACCTTAACTTCCACATTTGTAGTCCTTCCAAGGTCAAGTTATATTTTACCCCTTTTTCACACACTAAGGCCATTTCAAGGTCTAAACGGCACAGTTTTGATGTTTGTGGCAACCCTGCCCCAGGTGACGTTGATCATGACCTTTATGGTCAAGTCAAAATTCTAAACGGTGACCTCTAATTTTTATGCTGTACATGGAAAAAGCAGGAAATTTGACGACCGAATGTGACCTTGATCTCAAACAACATTTAGACTTGACACGAACAAAGTAACATTCAGATGTGAAACTTCCTTCCATTTCCATCTTCAGTGTGAAAATGAAAGATCTTCTTTGGAGACTTTCACTTGAGCTTGAAGGTCACCTTTGGCCATTACTTCCTCCATGTATGAGATCAGCCAATTATCACCCGAATATGTATTTTGAAAACTGCACATTCTAGGAAAACAAGTTTCAATCAAAAGCTGTAGGATTTTGAGTGGGAAAAACGGGATCACCTTGACAATGACCTTAGCTACCACATAAGAAGTCCTTCCAAGGTCAAGTTAATATTTTCAAGAAGATTCCCACATTTTAACAACGGAATTGAAAAGAGGAACAAGATTTCGGTCCGAGCATTACCTTGACTATGACTATGTTCATTGCCTTCAAGGCCAATTTAAGGTTAAATCAAGACACCGAAAACAATTTTCTTTAAAACAAATTTTCAACAGCACAGTTTTGATGTTTGTGCGAATCACCGAAAGGTGATCTTCAAGGTCAAATCAAAATAACAAAGGTCACACGTAAATTATATACTGAGGAAATCTTACGCTCGAATGTGACTTTGACCTAAGGTAACATTTAGGCTTGACACGAACTTGACATTGGAGTTTTCCTTTTTCTCCATTTTCAGTATGATGAGAGTCTTCTTTTGGAAATTTTCACTTGAGCTAGAAGGTCATAATTAAGGTCACCTTTGGCTATTCTGTCCTACTTGCATCAGATCAGCCCAATCAAAAAGCAATCTCTTATACCCACAGTATATAATTTTTGCCTCAACATATTTTTATCTGTAGTGTCAAACGCTTTCGATAGATCTGAAAGAAAGACACTACGTATTCGCCATTATAAAATTTCTTAAAGACGTGTTCTGCTGAGTGACAACTAGCAATTTCAATAGATCTTTCAGTTCCAAACCCATGTTGACATGTACTTAGGATACCAGACTTTTCAGCTAAACTAAATAGTGTATAACTTAAAGGGTACTATAAAAGTTTTGAAATATGACTTAACAAATGTTACTACATGTTGCGACATGTCCATGAGTGCACTGTAGCTGCCAGCCGCACGCCAGTTGGCTTAGTTGTTCATTCGTATTGGTATACACTATACAGTGCGGACTATGGCCTCGTGGTTACGTAGTGAGATAAGGGTAGTTTTACGGCACAACTTTACGCGTGGTTAAAGCATAGACTAGGGCTTAAAAGAAATGACGCTTGCATTAAAGAATGATTGTCCTCATCGTATGACTATATGCAGGTTGTACGGAGAATTCCAAAGGGGAAATTCCACTCTGGAGGACGCTGAGAGGGAAGCAAGGCCGCGAACGTCATTAACAGAGGAAGCCATTACTGCTGTGAGGAAAACGCTTGATGAAGACCGGAGAGTGGCAGACCAAGAGATAGGGGAGTAATCACACTTTAATGCACCAGTAATTCATTCAATTTTGCATGACTATTTACACGGAAGGAAACTTTGTTCTCTCTGGGTACTGCATAGTCTCTCGGAAGAGCAGAAGACTCGTCAAACGACTTGGTGCCCAAAGATGCTGAAAATATTTGAAAGAGGCAATCTCGGTATGTGAACAGCATCATGACAAGTGATGAGACTTGGCTCTATTATTACGATGTGCCGACAAGGGCTCAAAACAAAGTTTGGGTCTTTCAGGATGAGGACAGAAAAACTTTAGCGGTACTTTTCAAATCGAGCGGGATTGTGGAGCGCGTCGTTCTGGATATACAGAAGACTGTCACAGCTAAGTGGTAGAGCCTACGAAAGGCCTGCGGATGACTGTGGTGGAAATTACTTTGAATAAAGTCAATAAATGAAGCTGTATTGCAAAACCTTCATAGTACCCTTTTACATCGGATTTTATATTTTCTAATATTGTTCGATCCCGAACCTCACCGCCTTCCTCGTCCAAATTCTATCTTCAATTTTTCCAACTACGCATATAGCTGTTTACTGCTTTGTGTAAAGATACAATTTTCATTCATTGATAGAGGTGAACATTGGTGATCGGAGATTTCCTCTCCTAAAGCAGTCATTTGCCTCACTGTGCGTCGTCGAGTGACGCCAATGTTCTTCCTCCCTCTCTTAATCGAATGCCCTTTCCGAGCGTTTCGAAGTTGGAGTTGATTTAATTATTTAATGGGAAAGTTATGTATGGCGAGATATTACGTGTCAGACATAAATAGATTTATTAATGCTAATAAACATTCCATCCGTACAAACTGTAATAGGAAACACTTTGGGTACGGCAAAATAGTAAAATAGTTATGTGCTAGGAGATGGCGGCCGGTTTTTATAGGTAAAAGAGTATCGATCAAACTTTGTTTATCCTAGATATGTACGTAACATTACAAAGTTATTTCATTTTTCATCCGATCATCGTAACATAGCTACCACCTGACCTGCCCTGCCCGCGTTGCTTTATAAATTCTTCTTTATG